ATCTCTCCCGGGGATCAGGGTCAGATTCCCCTCTACAGTAAGTAACAACTCTCCCGGGGATCAGGGTCAGATCCCCCCCTACAGTAAGTAACAGCTCTCCCGGGGATCAGGTTTTGAACTCGTTTGTACTTGAATGGAGATAAAGCTGATGCTGGTTATCTCTGGGATGTTGTTGTATCTGAACATTGTGACTGAATGTTGAGAAATATTTCAAAGAAGTGCAACATTGTTGAAGAGGGTAGTAGTTGGAGTCTGGGCAATGGTGAGCTGTGAAGGAAGATTTAAATATTACCAATCTGTACAATCTGGAGACTAAATTTTCTCCAATATTGAATGGCAAGTGCAGAGTGAACTGCTATGATTTTTAAACCAAATGTGAGGTGCTATATTTTGGGATGAATAAAGTCACACAGGTGCCATCTTAACGAGAGTCTGAATGCGTTGGAAGAACAAAAGAATCTGTAAATATGAGCTCAAAAATCAAAGTAGGCTTGCAGCTTAGAAAGGTCTTTGAGGGCTCTTGTGACATGGTGGTAATGTTCCTGACCTCTGGGATAGGAGCTTGTTTCACCTGTTCCAGTAGGTGTGTAATAACATCTCTGAACAGGTCGATTAAAAATACCTAAAAAGGTCATTAAAAAGTTCAAGGAACTAGCTTCCTGAATAATCTAAAGGCAGAATTGGATAAATTCTTGGTAAACCAGGGGAGTGAAATGTTACTGGAGATTGGTGGCCATGTGAATTTGTTACAATCAGATCAACCATGAGCTTACTAACTGCAGAATGGCTTCAAAAGGCTGAATGGCCTTGTCTGTATGTTCATATGTGGCTTTCTGGAAGCTTAGAATTGAAAAGCACAGCGAAGGTAAATGAAAGTAGATGAAACATGTATAGAATCTTAGATAGACCAGGTAATACAGTTTATAATTCAAACCGAATTATGAAGGAATGTAGACACACTGGAGACTTTATAACAAGATGCACAGGGATAACAGAACTGAGAGAACATGTTTGTCAGGAAAAGTTAAATCAACACAGGTTCTTTTCTCTGAGGAGCAAAGTCTAAAGGAAGACCTGATGATTATGAAAGAGGTGTGATAAGGTGGTCATAGCAAAGATTTTCAACATGCTTGTGGAGGAGAACAAACTAAAGGTCTATCAATATAAGACAGTGACTAGTAAATCCAATTGGGACTTCTTCAGGAGAAACTGCTTTAACCAGAGAATGGTGACAATGTGGGACTCACTCCCACAGGGAGGGGTTCAGGGGAATAATGTCGATGTGTTTAAGAGGACCACGGACACATAGAAGGGAGAAATGAACAGAAGGATATGGGAATCACAGAAATGGTGCAGTGCAGTAGGAGATAAGGAAGGATGGCGTTAAACTTGAGAGGGTGCAGAAAAGATTTACAAGGATGTTGCTGGTACTGGAGGGTTTGAGCAATAGGGAGAAGCCGAATAGGCTGGAGTTATTTTCCCTGGAGCATCGGAGGCTGAGGGGTGACCTTATAGAGATTTATAAAATCATGAGGGGCATGGATAGGGTGAATAGACAAGGTCTTTTCCCCCAGGGTAGGGGAGTCCAAAACTAGAGGGGTATAGGTTTAAGGTGAGAGGAGAAAGATGTAAAAAGGACCTGAGGGGTAACTTTTCACGCAGAGGATGGTGCTTATATGGAACAAGCTGCCTGAGGAAGTGATGGAGATTGGTATAATTACAACATTTAAAAGACATCTGGATGGGTATATGAATAGGAAGCGTTTAGAGGGATATGGATCAAATGCTGGCAAATGGGACTAGGTCAGACTGAGATGTCTGGTTTGACCGAAGGGTCTGTTTCCATGTTGTATAACAATGACTCTTGACACTATGGCTAAGTCTGTACCAGCTCTGCAAAACAGCATTATGATTTAGCGCCTTCCTCCTGCCTTTTCCCTGTAACCCTGTACGTTGTTTCTGTTGAAATAATCAACCGATCCTCTTGAGTGTCTTGATTGAACGTGCCTCCACCACACTTCCAGGCAGTGTATTCTAGACTCTAACTATACACCGTGTGGAAAAGATTTATCACACAATACCTTTACTGCTTTTGCAAATTGCTTTAAATCTGTGCTCGCTGGGTCTGGAGGACACAGGGTGTGGGAACACTCATACGGAGAATAAACATCAATGGTGACTATTTAATTCAAATGGCAGGTTCCTGTGCTGTAAATACTACAAATTCTCACAGGGAAAATGTAACACACAGGCAAATGCCACCTCAGCCCAGCCCCAGAGAAACACCTTTCATTAATGGAATATAAAAGTGGGGACATGCTGCTGCAATTGTACAATGCATTAGTGAGACTGCACCTGGAGAATTGTGACCAGTTTTGATCTCTTCACTTGAGGAGGCATTGGAGGAAGTTCAGAGGAGGTTCATTCGATTGATTCCAGAGGTGAGGAGTTTGGCTTATGAAGAGAGACTGAGCAGCTTAGGCCTGTACCGTCTGCAGTGTAGACGAAAGGAAGGAGATCCAATTGAGCTAGATAAGGTGCTAAAGGGGATTGACAAAGTAGATGTAAAGCAGATGTTTCCTCATCTGGGGGCAATCGAAAATGAGAGGTCACAGTTTTAGAATAAGGAGGAGCAGATTTAAAACAGAGATGAGGAGAAATTACTTCTCTTAAAGAGATGTGAAACAGTGGAATTTAATATCCCAAAGTACAGTGGATGCCAGGACAGTGAAGGTATTTAAAGAGATAGAAGGATTTTTAGTCAGTAATGTGTTGAAGGGCTATGGGGAGTGGGCAGGAAAGTGGAGTTGAGGCCACGATGCGATCAGCCATGATGGTATTAAATGGAGGGGCTGATTGGCCCACTCCTGCTCTTAGTTCTTATTTGATGATGGGACAGTAAGGTCTGAAAATTAGTATTCATTGTGAAGAACACAAAATATTCATGCAACATCCTTTAATCTTTCAGTTTAACAAAAAAAACTGACCAAAAGTGATTAAAATCTTATTTTGTAACAGAGTTGTATCTGAACAAAGTAACTCTGACAGATACCCAGTTATTTGCAATTGAGGACAATGTGTCCTAGTCCACAGCAGCCTGTTGGAAACCTGAGCACTAACAGATAATTGTATCACCTTGATAATGAATGAATGAAAACTCAGTCCTGTTTGCTACATTCTTAATATCAATATTTCCATTTTACATCTGAGCTGTGAATCATTGACACAATTAAACAGTCATCTCACTTTTCTCTTAATGACTTAACCTTTCCCAATGTTTTAGTGAGTGTTCCAGCAAACCAGGTCCTCACAGAGAACAATAACTGTTTGTATGATAATGTGATGAATGTCTTTTTGTTAAAATACATTAAAATAAAACACAGGCAGCATTAAAATGGCAGATTTTGTTAGCAGGACAAATCATGGAAAATGCCTTTAGAATTTAACAATTGTGATGTTAAGCAAATTATACAGTGAAACATGAAGTAATTGGAAACTTTACTTTGAGTTCATCAAGCTGCAAGATGTTGCTATTTGAGAGTGTAATTTTTTCCAATTTTAGTCAGCATGGGGTTAGATACAGAGTGCATCTCCATCTACTTTTTAAAATTGAAAATAAAGTGTCCTCGACACTGTCCTCATCAAACATTCCCAGGACAGAGTCAGTACAGGGTTAGATATAGAGTAGAGCTCCCTCTCCTGTTTGAAAGTGAAAGTAAAGCTCCCTCTGCACTGTCCCCATTAAACACTCCCTGGACAGGTACTGCACAGGGTTAATTACATCATGAAAGCTGATCTCACCTTTACCTCTTTTGACTCAGTTGCTAAATTATTAAACCGTACATCCAAGATTCAGTACTGCTTGAGCAGAAATTAAATATTGGGAAGGTTGAAGCCACTGTTATCGGTTTTTGCTGTAGACTGGACTCCAATTGGTGCTGACTCCATCCTTATCCCTATCGACAGGCTGAGATTAAGCCCATATCTTTGTAACGAAAGTGCAATATTTAACCCCAAGATAGCCTCCTGATTGCATACACGTGCCATCACTGAAACAGTCTCTTCCTACATCCCTAATGTTGTTTGATTTCACCCTGTCTCAGCTCACCTTCTGATGTAACATTCACTCATGCCCATGTAATGTATAAACCTGTCTATTCTGATACAGTCCTGGCTGGTCTCCCATATCCAACCCTCTGTAACTGTGACATCATCCAAAACTTTGCTGTCTGTGTTTTAACTGTCACCAACCATTTTCTTCTGCCTGCCCCTATGTGCTCACCTGCAATGGTTCTTGTTCAAACAATGGCTCTATTTTAAAATTCTCCTTCTTGTTTTCCAATATCCAAAATCTATTTTCAGGCTTTCTCTGAACCTTCTCTGTAGCTGTAACACTATAGTCTGCATTCTGTTTTATTACCCTGATGTGCTTACGGAAGGTAATGATTTGCCTGGATAGCAACGCAAAACACTACTTTTCACTGTATCTCGGTACGTGTGACAATAGTCAATCAAATCAATCATTCCATGGCTTCACCTCTCCCTAATTCTGGGTTCTCCTCCAGCTTCACAATCCTCTGAGATCTCAGTCCTCCTTCCATTCTGACCTCCCTGATTTAAAGCTCTCCATTCAGCTGTTGTGTCTTCATTTGTCTAAACCTCAAGCCTTGGAATTCCCACTCTGTGCCTCTCTACCTCATTTCCCCTCTTGAAGAGTCCCTTTAAAGATTTTGGCCACCTGTCCGAATATTTCCTTTCTACTTCGCTATCGTACTGCTCTTCACGATTGCTGCTGTGAGCTACATTCCCTTTCATTCCTCCTGTGACTCTTCAGACTTCTAAGCTCCTTCGGGAACCAGAGGTCAATGCGTCCACAAGCCGACTGGAGTGCACAGACCCTCTGAGCAGCTTAGAGAGAACATTGGCTGTGAAGCACATTCCCAGATGGACAAACCAATCAGAAAAAGTAACACAGAGCAATGCAGCTACATTTTGAGGTATATAGACAATTTGGAGCAGTATATCTCATTGGCCAATTTCACAGGTTTTCCCTTCTGGACTGCAATGTTTCATTACATTAATGTTGCCTACAAATGAAAACTTTAGTTGTTGACAGTTCTGATCGCTGGCTGGGCCAGTATTTATTGCCCATCCCTAATTTTCCAGGGGCAGTTAAGAGTCAACCACATTGCTGGAGTCTGGAGTCACATGTAGACCAGGTAAAGATGGAAGTTTCCTTCCCTGAAGGACATTAGTAAACCACATGGGCCTTTCCCGACAGTAATTCCATGGCCATTGTTATAGACTCATTGAATTCTTACAGTATTGCGGCAGGCCACTTGGCCCACTGAGTCCACACCCACCCTCTGAAGACAGCGTCCCACCCAGATCCACCCCCAAACCTATCCCTGTAACCCCTGCATTTTCCATGGCCAATCCACCTAACCTGCACATCTTTGGATTTTTTTTTTAACTTGAACTCAAGTTGCACCATTTGCCATGGCAGGATTTGAACCTGGGTGTCTGGATTAATAGTTTAGTGATGATCCCACTATCACCTTCCCATTAAAACGGATAAGGTTCATAATACTACCAGGGCATCACCTCCCCTTATTCAGTTAAAGAGACACAGAAGGCATTCGAGTGCTAATGTAAAATCATTTGTACCTACTTCAGTGCATAACATGCATGCTTGTTCTTCTGCTGAAGGAATCCTCTTGGACTCATTGGATGACAGCTCACAGAATTCGCCCAATGAGGAGCCTGAAGTCGAAGAGATAGATGACACTGAACCAGAGACCCAACTTGGTGAGAGCGACATATTCCTTCCACACTTCGAGGGCCAAAGAACCCCCGTTGGCTCAAATGATGATTGGGATGAAGAGCCGGGAGCCAGGTTATCTTCAGCTTTCCTCGTCACTTTGGAACGAAAATCTTCAAGATCCAAACGCAGTGCTTCAGGACTGGCCAAAAGTTGTTGCAAACGAGGCTGCACCAGGAGCGAAATTGCTAGACTTTGTTAATTGATTGACCTTTTCCTGGGGTCACATTAGTGCTAATGCCCAGGATTCATATTCTGTTGTGTCAAATATTAGTCCCAAAGGATTTTGTTCATTTCAATTTGCCTTCTCCAAAGTTTACCCTGCAGCCTTGCTTGAGAATACAAGCCTTTGTCCAATCAGGAAACTGGCATTCTCTGGAATTTCAAGGCTTGGCCATTAATGCCAGTAGGATTGCTTGGCAGGGATACCATTTGCACACAGGTGAGTCAGGGTGCCAAGTGCCCTGAACACCTTACCCACTGTCACTTGTGACAACACCAAATGATCCAAACCAATCTCAAGGCAACAACACCATGAACTGCTGGAGAAACTCAGCAGGTCTGGCAGCATCTGTGGAGCGAGAAACAGAGTTAATGTCTCGATCCCAGTGATCCTTCTTCTGAATCAGTTTTACTGCCAGAGCTGCTGAGTTTCTCCAGCAGTTCCTGGTTTTGTTTCAGAATTCCAGCAATTGCAGTTCGTTGTTTAATTTCAATCTCAAGGCGAATCCATCAGAAATAATTAATGTCAACTATAACATAGAAGTAGGCCATTCACGACTCTCCCCACCCCTCCACTGGCCTACGCTGGGTTCTAAGCTCCACACAAGCCTTCTCTACCCCTCTAATGCTAATAGCATTGAGCCCCTTTACCCGATGGGACATGGATCTCTTGTGGAAATGGCCTCTAACTAATCAAAGGGAAATAGGAGAAGGTCAGGGACCTGTGCTGACATTTTTGTGTTTTTATTTAGGATTGAACATAGCTTTGTTTTAATGGGTGGGCAATGGGGAAAGTGGAAATATTGGGGAAGGAGAGGTTGGGGGATATGGGGAATAGTGGGGCAGAAAGTTAGAATTTATCCTGTGCAGAACATGTACTAACAAGATACCATACTTACAAAGACCGGGCAGACAGAAAGGAACTTTCCCCCTCATTGGAGGGATCCATGACCAGTGGGTATAGATTTAAGGTGAGGGGCAGGAGGTTTACAGGGATGTGAAGAAAAGGTTTTTTTTTTACCTAGAGTAGGTGGGAACCTGGAACTCACTGCCTGTAAGGGTGGGAGAGGCAGGAAATCCTCATCACGTTGAAGAAATATTTAGATGTGCACTTGCGATTCCAAGATGTACAAGGCTATAGACCAAGTGCTGGATAACAAAATTAGAATAGCTAGTGGTTGTTTTTGACCAGCATAGACTTGATGGACTGAAGGGCCTTTTTCTGTTCTATTGACCTCTGCGACAGTTTAGCTGAAAGAGCAAAAATAACAATTGCTGGAGGAATTGCTATTCCAGCTGTCTTCTGAGTGACACGGTGGCTCAGTGGTTAGCACTGCTACCTTACAGCACCAGGGACCTGGGTTCGATTCCAGCCTTGGGTAACTGTGTGGAGTTTGCACGTTCTCCCCGCGTCTGCGTGGGTTTGCTCCCACAGTCTAAAGATGTGCATGTTAGGTGGATTGGCCATGCTAAATTACCCATAGTGTCCAGGGTGGGAAATAAAGGGATAGGGCAGGGGGTGGGTCTAGGTGGGATGCTCTTTGGAGGGTTGGTGTGGACTTGTTGGGCTGAATGGCCTGCTTCCACACTGTAGGGATTCTATGTGCAGGCTAGGTGGATTGGCTGTGGGAAATGCGGGGTTACAGGGAGATGCTACGCATGGGAGGGTCAGCATGGGCTGGATGGCCTCCTCCCACATTGTAGGGATGCTATGATTCTGAGGTTGGATTCAGCTATTACCAGCTCTCCAAGTAACTTGGCAATTTATTGTATGACAAGTGCAGTCACCTGAGCTGTCAACAGCTCATTCAGGACAGTTGAATCAACTTATGTTTAATCTGTGACGTGCACGAAAGAACATCCTGAGATATAACATTGAGAAAGAGTGAGACGCGCAGCAAGCTGAAGAGAGGGATACGTTTAGGAGGAAAGAAGCTATAAAACCTGGCTAAAACAATTAATTTATGGTGGAAACTTCAAAGAGAAGAGTGGGGAGTAAGAAAGTGGAAAGGATTTAGAGATGAAAGGCAACAGTGCCTGACTAGGGTAGCCATGGATCACAGAAGTTCAGCAACTGTTGACCTGTAGACAGAAAAGTTCCATTGGTTCCCCATTTGCAACTGGATCTTTTCCTTTTCCCCGGAAAGTACTGATCCCACTGTGAGATCCAGGGACCAGGCTGACCTCACCCAAACTTCATGCACATCCCAGGAAATGTCACCAAGCCAGGTCTCTGGCCAAACCTGTCAAGAATCCTGAGTCTATCCTTAATGGAAATCATGGAGAAAAAATTGACAGTGACATTGGTTAGGTCACTTTTGGAATACTGCAAATGGGACTAAGATTTATCTAGGATATCTTGTCAGCATGGACAAGTTGGACCAAAGGGTCTGTTTCTGTGCTTTACATCTCTTTGAATCTCCAACCTCGGTTTTGCAAAGCTCAGGGGGCCAATTTTTACCTTGTTTAACAAATGAGAAAGTCTCAAAAATTGCATTTATCTGGTTTCTTATCCTGTCATTTCAAAGTCCCAGAGTGTGTCAATGAATTGTTTCTTAAATTGGATTGACGGTTACGTGAATAAATTAATGTCAAACAGGCATCAAAAGTGTTCTGCCACATTCAACAGTCTGTGGGCACCTAATAAGGCAATACTTATGTTAACTCCCATAGCATTGGGGTGATGTAGTACTGAAAAATTTAACAGATGTTTATTACAGCACCTGATATAAACATATATTAGAGTCACAGGCATTGCAGCATCCAGGCTAATATTAAACTATTTGGCTACTAACAGTAGCAACATTAACAAGGCATGCTTCAAGTGGCCCCAGAAAAGATGGAGACTGAGCCTTTCATACCCTCAGGTGACCTGCTACGATATGGTGACGATGTTGTGAGAGAGTCTCTGAAATATATACTGCATATTAACTACGAGCTTTAACAAAAATTGAAACTTTTCTACAAGGATTCAGTGATATTTATAATATTGTTTTCTGTGATTTTACTGTGTTGAGCTGATTGTGTGCCATGCTATAAAGACCAATCAGAAACAGAATCAAGATTTGGGCCATCATAGCCATTTAAACCTGTTTTTACATGTGCTTTACCACATAGATAACTTGCCTTCAGCTCTTTCTGAATGAATAATTAATGCAGTTTAATTTAAACTATTAAGGCAGATACCACTTCCTTCAATTTTACCAATTCCAATAATTGACTGCTGAAATTAATCATTATAAATTCCATGTGATGTACAGTAGACATCAGTACGTGTAATATTTTGATTTTCTAATTATTAAGAATCAGAGCCTTGAGTCATCTCAGGTCTTTTGAAAAAGACTCTCAAAATATTCCAACTGAAATTGTGACCAAGTTTGTCATCTGAATTTCAGGAGAGATTTTATTCTAATACAAAGAAAATCAGAGATGAGAAACGTTATTATTTTCCTGCATTTTATTCTGATTTAGTCCTGATGGGGTTCGGTCCCACCGGCACTAACACAGTGTAGGGTTCATTTCCCCTGGCACTGACACAGTGTGCGGTTCAGTTCCCCTGGCACTGACACAGTGTGGGGTTAGTTCCCCTGGCACTGACACAATGTGGGGTTCAGTTCCCCTGGCACTGACACAGTGTGGGGTTCAGTTC